CACCTGAGTATGACACAAAACAACAGTGCAGGCACTATAAGTGGCCTAGCATCTGTGTGTTCAACAGGGCACGTTTGATGTCACATTTGACTTGAAAAGGGCAGTGGGCAGTGCACACTGTACGTCGCCTACAGACTGAAAAGGGTTGATAGTAATACATATGGTGGTTCTAGAGTACTAAAGAGTAAGTAAATCTTTTGTGTTTGATGTTTGTTATTTAATTCACATTGAAAAATTTGATAAAAGTACTAAAATCTATATCACAAAATCCTTCAAACAAAGATTGTAAAATAAAATATCCAACTAGAACAGTTAATAGTGGCTAATATTTATGGCAATTGTTGGGACAGAAAACAAATTCAACTTAAATAAAACTATAAATACCACCCAATTAATTGAGTAGAGGTATTTTTAAATACAAGCAAATATGGACTCCTTTCAACACAACTAATTAAAAATAGCCACACTATTCATTACATTACAGGTGTAACATGTATGACTTATTTTCTTTATTGGCATTTTAATGGTTTTGGTATTTACAATCAGTAAAATGCACACTATAAATTGAGTTTGACTCCAACAAAAATCTGATTAATATTTTAAATGATAAAATGTTTATACACAACATAAAATACACTATTAAAAATTACTGTATGAATTTGAATACATTAAGATAAATCGATCTATACTATTGTAAAGAAGAGGTGGTGTCTGTGTGTGTGTTTGTATGAGATAATCTCAAAAACTACAGAACTGACTGGGCTCAAATTGCACACAAATGAAGCTACAGCTCCGAGGATACATACAGGGTGAATTTTAAATGAGTTCCCCCCCTACTTTTTTCCACATTTCTTAAGATATCATCTCCGGACCCTGTCAGATCATTGTTGAGTAGTAAGTATTTCATTTTGACTGGGTGTACATTTTTGGCCGCCATCTTGGATCCGCCATATTGGATACAAAGTTTTTTTTTCAAATGTAAAGGTAGGGTTGTGACCCATTATTTCAAACAAGAATTTTACGCTGATTACAATGCCGCAATTTGTTTTTAAAAATCTTGATCCGTTCTAAAGTTATGAGGACTTTTTATAACTTTATTTTTAGCGCATTTTAACATTGTGCATTTACAAACTAAGACCATAATCTCAAAATAGTGCTAGATAAAGATAAGTATACAACACCATTCATTGTTGACATACTTTCACTTGGTTGTGACGGATGTAGTTTTTTCAGCCGCCATCTTGGATCCGCCATTTTGAAATGTGATCAATTAATTTAAATATGAAGGTGGTGTTGTGACCCATCATTTTGAGCTACTTTTTTATGCTTAACCCAATGCCGCAATCCGTTTTTCATTTTCATCTTTGGATTTTGAAATATTGAAATTTTAAATAAGAGTATTTTAATATTTCATCAAGAAAGCTTGATAACCAAAAACGGATTGCGGCATTGAGTCCAGTATAAAAAAGTAGTTCAAAATGATGGGTCACAACACCACCTTCATATTTAAATTAATTGATCACATTTCAAAATGGCGAATCCAAGATGGCGGCTGGAAAATTTACATCCGTCATAACCAAGTGAAAATATGTCGACAATTAATGGTGGTGTATACTTATCTTTATCTAACACTATTTTGAGATTATGGGCTTATTTTGTTAATGCACAATGTTAAAATGGGCTAAAAATAAAGTTATAAAAACTCCTCATAACTTTAGAACGGATCAAGATTTTTAAAAACGAATTGCGGCATTGTAATCAGCGTAAAATTCTTGTTTGAAATAATGGGTCACAACCCTACCTTTACATTTGAAAAAAAAACTTTGTATCCAATATGGCGGATCCAAGATGGCGGCCAAAAATGTAAACCCAGTCAAAATGAAGTACTTACTACTCAACAATGATCTGACGTGGTCCGGAGATGATATCTTAAGAAATGTAGAAAAAAGTAGGGGGGGAACTCATTTAAAATTCACCCTGTATAGAACTATTCCCGCTTCGATATTGTCCTAGGGCTCTGCCCCGTGGGCTTTCAAAAATTTGAGGTGAGAGATTTAAAAGTAAATATTGATTGATGGTATCCATGGTAACAAAGAACAAACCTACAAAGTTTAAAAATGTAAACAAGCAGAACTAACTGTCAAATGAATTTTGATTTCACAATTCCACACAGCCGGTTCAAACATATTAAATACTGCACGAATATTAGAACAAAGAGGGTAAGGATTATAAATTTAAAATAATAATGTCACTAGCCCGAATGTAAACATTTTTTTAAATTACTTAAATGGAACTGTCAAACCATATGTTAATGTAATTTCATTAGTATAATATGATTCTTTTAGTTACTTAATTTGTTTATGTTTATGATCTATTATACTGAGTCTGTTCTGATATTTGTGAAATGCTGTAATAATATTTTACAGGGAATAATTAGTTGTAAAATAAATCATTCATGGATATAGGAAATAATTAAGATTCTATAATCATTGCCGTATCAACCTAGGCCCTTATCCTGAGTTTTATGAGGTTTATTTTTTTATTTATTTTTGTGTAAACAGTAATATAACCCCCCTGCCGCAGCAAATCTATAGACTGAGCAAATTTCCATTTGTCTGATTATAATTTCACTGAAATATGTTAGGAAATTACCCTACTTTCCATATTTATTTATATTTTCCTATTTTTTCTATTTTTCGGTTTGGAATTATTGTGATAGCTTTTTGTTTACAGTGCAAACCATGAAATACATTCTTTTTAGTATTCCTTAAAATCTATCATTGGTTTTGTATCGTAGGTAGCCTAAATAAGTATTCACATTATGAGTTAACAAAAACGTACTATTATCAAGTTATGTAGTACAGTTAAATTTTGTTTCTAAATTAAATGGTAGGAGTGAAACCATTTTGCATTTTCAAAGATCCAACATTGTCTCTTTTGCATACTGACCCTGTTGCATTAAGGCACGGGTAAAGCTGCTAGCAAATATGAATAGTAGCGCTGGTTTGCAGTAGCTTTTCAAATGTCACTACTAATTGTGACCAACGGGATTGATTTATTTGGTATCTTATATGAATTAGAGTTAATCATGTACTACCACAAAGTATTCTTTCTACATCAATTACAATTTCATAATGCCCCCACCACAGCAAACCAGCAGCCAAAGCAAATTTCCATTTGTGTGACTTTATTTTCAATTAAATCTAATTCAATAACATTAGGTTTAACGAGTACCTAGGTTTGCTGCCTACAGGGAGGGTAACGAAGTGTGATTTTAAGGAAAATATTATTAGCCCAGTATGAAATAAATAAATTTGCCAAGTTTGATAAAAATCTATCCATAAACAAGCAATATTACAACAGTTTACCTATCCTACTAATATTATAAGTAAGAAAGTTTGGATGTACGGATGTATGGATGTATGTATGTATGGATGTATGGATGTATGTATGTATGTATTGACTAGTAATAATAACTTACACTGTATGTAATTTGTATTTTCCATACAGTCACCTGACGACGGTTGGCCATTTGTTATAAATTTCGAAAACAGCTGTTTTCATAAAATCATAGATAAAACATAATCAATATTTAGTTCTAAAATATCACTACCACAATAAAGATAAAAAAGTCGTGCCGCGCCAAAAATTCATTTGATTTCTAATCGTCGTGACATTGTTATATACCTGCTACAGGGTTTGTTTATGTAATAAAACGAAAGTTCAGAATGTGATCTTTCAAATGGTATATATATTATTCTCATCTGAGTTGATTATAAGTGTTTTTTTACCGTTAAAATAATTTCGGCCCATACCGTCACCAGACGACGGCTGGCCATTCTAAGCATCAACGGCAAACCGTCACCAGACGACAGTTGACCACTGCTAGGGTTAAAATATACTAAGAAAATTGGATTGAGCCTGAGATAAACTAATATTGAGGATGTTAACTTTCTAAATGAAAAGACAATAATCTTACTCTGTGATAATCCAAATTTTAGTTTTAGAAAAAAACTTTGCAAGAATTTTATCTATCTTACCTTTTACCTAGGTCCTCTTCACCGTAGTCATTGAGACCAGGGAATCGTCATTCTTCTTTTGTTTGTGTATACAGGGTGTCCCGGAACTCTCTACCAATATTTTAGGGCATTGTTACTGGGTAAGAAACATATCTAAATATCATATTTAAATTGTCCAGAAGTCCTTAGTTACTCAGATAGCCGCCATTTTGTTTTTTTCACTTATTAATTTTTTTCTGAAAATTGGTTAAACATACGAAGTTGAAACTTTGCACAAACATTTATGACAACTAGACAAAGCTACAAAAAAATTATGACGATTTTTCAAATTCATAAAACAAAATGGCGGCTGTTTAAAATTTTGTTTCTTAAATTACTCAAAAACGGTTGATGTTACAAAAATTTTACAAGAATAACTTTTTTAGGGCAATTTTATTACAAATCGATCGACACCTTAATCTTTAAGATCGGACGAGTATTAACTGAGATATGGCAGTTTTAGTGATACGTGACCGCCGGATATTAGTTGCAGCGCATGCTGAAAGCGGTCACGTATCACTAAAACTGCCATATCTCAGTTAATAGTCGTCCGATCTTAAAGATTAAGGTGTCGATCGATTTGTAATAAAATTGCCCTAAAAAAGTTATTCTTGTAAAATTTTTGTAACATCAACCGTTTTCGAGTAATTTAAGAAACAAAATTTTAAACAGCCGCCATTTTGTTTTATGAATTTGAAAAATCGTCATAATTTTTTTGTAGCTTTGTCTAGTTGTCATAAATGTTTCTGCAAAGTTTCAACTTCGTATGTTTAACCAATTTTCAGAAAAAAATTAATAAGTGAAAAAACAAAATGGCGGCTATCTGAGTAACTAAGGACTTCCGGACAATTTAAATATGATATTTAGATATGTTTCTTACTCAGGAACAATGCCCTAAAATATTGGTAGAGAGTTCCGGGACACCCTGTATATGTGTATATATGTGTATTTGTGTATTAGTGTAGGTTGTGAGCAGTTTAATGGTTTAGTCTATTGTAGATGCTGTGATCTACGTAAAATTCATTTAGGTCGTAGTATGGTTTGTTTAGCAAATATTGTTTTAGATTTTTCAAGAAAGTTTTGTCATTGTGGATTAGTTTTAAATTCTCTGGTAACATATTAAATAACTTTGACCCTATTATTTGAGGATTTTTACTAGTTTTAGTAAGTCTGTGTTGCTGAACATTATAGGTAAGTTTCGAGTTTCTTAAATTAAGTTTGTGGCAATCATTTCTGACTTTTGGGTTGTTGAGTTTCAAAATTTTGATGGTTTCCAGAATGTAGAGGGATGGTAGGGTAAGGATTTCATTGGATATGAAGAATGGTTTGAACTTATAACTAGTTTTGAAGCTGATAAAAAAATGCTCTTTGCCATTACTTCATCATAACCTCCAGTTTTTCATTCTCATCTGCTGTGAACAGCTGGCAAAACTACACTGTCTTCGTACTGAATGCTTTTATATGTTTTTAAAAATTTAAAAAAACAACTAGACATTGTGTTGGTTGGAAATAATTTACCAGTTTTGTGAAATTATCTTGTCAATAAATGTTTCAAACATGTTTATTCATAAAAACTCGTATCCTTTTTTTTAAACCACTTTATCATGGCTATTCAAAGTATCTCAGAGTAAAATAGGTAAAGCCTTTATCTTAACTGTGATTTTTCTTTACACAATCCTCGTAGTAGTAAAAGGTTTTGTTTTAATAATATGTGGTACAGTAATTGTTGTGAGAAGACCATGAATGTAGGATACTATCCATTTTCATAGTAATGTCTATGTATTAAAGTTAAAAATAATGGTTTAAACAGTTCTGAGAAGAAAACCGCAAAAATACGGGTAGCCACGTACCGTACCGATTTTGTACCGAGAACCGAGGTACAAAATATTGTACCGTACCGAACCGTACCGACCTTAAATTTTCTGTCCCGCAGACCCCTAGTATGGATGGATGGATGGATGGATGTTTGTGATAAGTAAACACGAAAAATACTAAACCGACAAGGTTGAAATTTGGTATGATGATAGATGACATTCCCGATTAACATTTAGACATATTCTTACATCAAAAATCCTTTCAAGCTCCGCCCCAGTGGCTCTGGCTCTGGAGTTTCGCATGTTAACCTTAAGAGTATTGATATTTAAAGAAATTAAAGAATTTTGTCAGCCGATTCAACTTCACAAGTTGGTTCTATGATATTAAATAGCATTAAAAAGTTATGAGGCTTACCAACAGGGTGCAGCACTATTATGTTTTTGCATTTATGACCACAGCTAATTTGAACCAACTAGCAACAGAAAGTTATGGTACACAAAGAGAACTTAACTTTTTTCCATGGTTTAGGTGTATTGGTAGAACATTAGGGCTATGGTAGATGTGTGCTACACTATAGGATACCGTATAAATTAAAAGACCAAATTTTCTTAAACCGTGTCCTCTCCCATAACTGCAATAAGCATTTATACTTACATGCCAACCCCGTACGAAGGACGGGTACTCTGCTAGTATAATATAATTCATCGGTAAATTTGAAATCCAGAAAAAGTTTCCAATTAAAAACAGTAGACAACAATAAATAAATCATTATAAACAAAAGCACAGCCATAAACTAAATTATACTATGTACTGTACAACACTGGAGAAGAGTTCAAGTATTATCTTACATAAACACGCGTGTGTGGTTCAGAGATATAGGATACACAAGCACTATCTACATGCCCCTGTTGCACAGAGGTAGAGCAAGACTAAGTCAATATTCTGTCACTAGCCCTTGTATATCCCAATGAACACACTGTACACAAGTTACTTTTTTACGTGTTAAAAATATTATGCTAAATCCTTTAACTTAACCATAACATTCTCCCCATAATCTCCCAAAAATTTTACAATAACATTAGACTACATGCCTTCACAATTTATATATTTTTTCAATGATAACTTTTTTAATGTGTGATATATTATAGTGTCAGGCTAAATATACAACAGCCGAAATCATAAAAAAATACTCTCTCACAAAAAACTATATGAGTGTCCATTTTCACTGATTTATACGATCTGTTCCAAAACATTGTTGGAAAAGATTTGTTTGCAACACCACACAGTCAGCAGCTGGTTTCTGGTCTCTTTGTTGACAAGAAGGTCTTTCTTTACAGAGAGGGCTCGGTAATATCAATTGGAGTTTGGTAAATTAACCTTGGACTCTTATGGAACACTTAAAAAAGGAATAATAATAATATGAATTTCTTCAGTAGGCTCTGATCAAAGCTACATAATAAATACTACACAGGTTTGGACAGGTACATTGCAATCCCAGTGCCGGATTTACCACTAGGCCGATTAGGCCGCGGCCTAGGGCCGCAAGCAAGAGGGGGCCGCAGAGGATTGCACAACAATTTTTTTAGATAGGCTAAAAAAATAATTTGTTTAACCATTAGTTTGCTGCGATCACAGGTGACCATAATAATGTTTCCGTGATTGCGGCCCACAGAAGATGTTCACGATTTTGCCGCGGCCGTGGGTGTTGATGATGATGTCCCTGTGATTGCGGCCCACGGGAGATGTTCACGATTTTGCCGCGGCCGTGGGTGTCGATGATGATGTCCCCATGAATGCGGCCCGCGGGAGATGTTAACGATTTTGCCACGGCCGTGGGTGTTGATGATGATGTCCCTGTGATTGCGGCCCACTGGAGATGTTAACGATTTCGCCCCGGCCGTGGGTGTCGATGATGATGTCCCCGTGATTGCGGCCCGCGGGAGATGTTCACGATTTTACTGTGGTCGCGGGTGACGGTGATAATGTCCCTTTGTTGCAGCCCGTGGGGGATGTTCATGATTTTGCCGTGCTCTCGGATACCTATGATGGCTTTGACTTGATTTAGGAGAGATGTCCACGATTTCATCCACGATCACGGGTGTCAATGATGATGTCCCCTTGATGCATAAGAGATATTCACGATTATTTCCGCGATTGCAAAGAATTTCCACCACAGGGGGAGGGGGAGGGCCGCTCAAGTAATTTGGCCTAGGGCCTCCAGTACCCTAAATCCGGCACTGTGCAATCCCACAACTAATATTGGGAAGTTTTAAAAACTTTACCTTTTGAATAAAAATAGAAAATTCTGTAAAAAAAGTTGTGTTAAAATAGTATGGGTTTATATTAAACAGTGTTATGGGTTCTCTGTAAATTTGTTGCTGGTAATGTGGTATTTGGCTCATGAGAGGTGTTAAATGTACTGTCAAAAATCCTGGAAACTATAATGCTAACATTGTAAGCACCTACTCCCCATCCTTATAGTCATGAAGAATGTAAAATTTGTGATAGACGTGATTCTTTAAAAAGATAAATTAATATCACAAAAGAAGTCATAAATAAGAAACATGTGTGGTGGCACTAGCTGTGAACTGCGGTAATATCATACAAAATTTCAAGTGTCAGTAAAGTGGTACATACACTGGCATTTAGCATCGAAGAACTATCTACATCTGTATATTTTTTGGCTGGATACTGTACACCAACATAATAAGTTGTTAAAATAAAACAAGTGCAGGACCGATTGACTAACTAACAAAATAGTTTGCCACTGATTTTAATAATTTAATTCCTATAACTTTTTGTTTGAAGTAAATTCAGAAGCAATTGGAATTACCTTAGTCAATAAATATTTATGTTAAGACCATGTCATTATTATCACACAAAAACTATATAAATTTTAAAACATTTGCTTTCAAAAAGCCTTGAAACCCCTTTACTTTGAAAACTACCTCAATCAGTTTTTTAGGCAATACTTAGTAAATCCTACGAGTACACTTCTCAATATAATCTACACAAATATATCTACTTGCAATGCCAATGGCACCTATACTTACATTACACTATCAACCGGTTATAAAATCTGACATTTTTAATGTCTCAGCAACATAATTGCACAAGGTTACTTTTTAAGTTCTGAATATACAAAATCCACCATCAACCCAACTTACATTAACTGTACATGAGATCCTAGTAAGCCTAACATAAATGTTTATATATCATCAAACAGGCCTCGCGGAGGGTCTCCAACTCGTGTAGGGATGAAGTCTTGAGTGAAGGAATCATCATTGCTGTGATAGGTGTCGATTGGCTCTGCAGCAGCCAACAGGTTGGAGTGGGAGTCTTCTCTAGTCCTCTGCTGTGTGAAGCCTGTGACACACGAGTATAGCACTAACTACAACTCAGCAGTAAAATAGGGAAATACTCTAAAGGTCCCTATTGTATGGTGCATTGATACAAAGAAGTGACTTGGCATGAAATGTCTTTCAAGTGCTAAGAGGATTACTTTCCCTGGGTATTACTTATACCTTGTTTTGATACAACTAAGTACCGTGTTTCAAAATACATTTGCTAAATAAAAGGAAAGACTCAGTTTTTGACTGTTGGCCTTGCAAAAGTTAAATCAATTAAAACAGCACTAAATTGATTGACTGTTGGCCTTGCAAAAGTTAAATCAATTAAAACAGCACTAAATTGATTGAGCCGGTTTTTGTAACAAGTGTGACAGAAGTTTAACATATGTTTAATTTTAATTTTTATTTTAAATTTTAAATTTTTAAATTTTAAATTTTTTTAAATTTAAATTTAAATTTTATATTTATTGGTGTTTGTGGACATTGACTTTGTCAACGACCCCGTGTTCCAACAATGAGAGATAAAGGGCCTAAGCCAATTATTGCTCAGTTCTCCAATAGAAAAATCCGTGATTCTTTCTTAAAAAACTGTAAAAAGGCTACCATAAAATCAACGGATTTCATTCACGGTATTCCACCTACTAACATGTATGTCAACGACCATTTAACTCCATACAATCGTAACCTACTGTTTCAAGCTAAAAAACTCAAAGAAAGTGGCTTTAAACATGTATGGTCTGTGGAAGGTAAAGTTCTTGTCAGAAAAAGCGATGATGGAAAATGTATCCGTATTTTTTCACTTGAAGATATAAAAAAAACTTATGCCTGCAAATTCTGAGTAAAAAATGTGTGGATTGTAAAGTAAGATTTTTCAATACAGCTGATTTATCATGGTCTCAGTGCAGACCTTGTATGTTGATGCAATCAATTTATATGGCAAGGCAATGTCTCAGTGCAGACCTTGTATGTTGATGCAATCAATTGATATGGCAAGGCAATGTCTCAGTGCAGACCTTGTATGTTGATGCAATAAATTTATATGGCAAGGCAATTTCTCAGTGCTGACCTCATATGTTGATGCAATCAATTTATATGGCAAGGCAATGTCTCAGTGCTGACCTTGTATGTTGATGCAATAAATTTACATGGCAAGGCAATGTCTCAGTGCAGACCTTGTATGTCGATGCAATAAATTTACATGGCAAGGCAATGTCCCAGTGCAGACCTTGTATGTTGATGCAATCAATTTATATGGCAAGGCAATTTCTCAGTGCTGACCTCATATGTTGATTCAATCAATTTATATGTCATGGCAATGTCTCAGTGTAGACCTTGTTTGTTGATGTAATCAATTTATATGGCAAGGCAATGTCTCAGTGCAGACCTTGTGTTATTATACAATCAATTTATATGGTAAAAGGCAATGTCTCAGTGCAGACCTTGTTTGTAGATGTAAACAATTTATATGGCAAGGCAATGTCTCAGTGCAGACCTTGTGTTATTATGCAATCAATTTATATGGTAAAAGGCAATGTCTCAGTGCAGACCTTGTTTGTTGGTGTAATCAATTTATATGGCAAGGCAATGTCTCAGTGCAGACCTTGTGTTATAATGCAATCAATTTATATGGCAAGGCAATGTCTCAGTGCAGACCTTGTGTTATTATGCAATCAATTTATATGGTAAAAGGCAATGTCTCAGTGCAGATCTTGTTTGTTGATGTAATCAATTTATATGGCAAGGCAATGTCTCAGTGCAGACCTTGTGTTATAATGCAATCAATTTATATGGTAAAAGGCAATGTCTCAGTGCAGATCTTGTTTGTTGATGTAATCAATTTATATGGTAAAAGGCAATGTCTCAGTGCAGACCTTGTGTTATAATGCAATCAATTTATATGGTAAAAGGCAATGTCTCAGTGCAGATCTTGTTTGTTGATGTAATCAATTTATATGGCAAGGCAATGTCTCAGTGCAGACCTTGTGTTATAATGCAATCAATTTATATGGTAAAAGGCAATGTCTCAGTGCAGATCTTGTTTGTTGGTGTAATCAATTTATATGGCAAGGCAATGTCTCAGTGCAGACCTTGTGTTATAATGCAATCAATTTATATGGTAAAAGGCAATGTCTCAGTGCAGATCTTGTTTGTTGATGTAATCAATTTATATGGTAAAAGGCAATGTCTCAGTGCAGACCTTGTTTGTTGAAGTAATCAATTTATATGGCAAGGCAATGTCTCAGTGAATCTATATATATAAAAGGCAAAGCCCTCACTGACTGACTCACTCACTCACTCACTCATCACTAATTCTCCCACTTCCTATTTACCTAGGAGGCTGAAATTCGGTACACCGATTCTTTGGGCATTAAATAGGGAAACTAAGTAGTTTTTATTTTGATCGGGCTTTTGGGCTCCACCCCAGTGGCTCTGGAGTTTCCCATGTTAACCTTATGATTTTTCATATTTAAAAGGAAATAATGAATCTTAACAGCTGTTTCAAATAAACAAGTTGGTTCTGTTCTATGATGTCCAATAGCATTAAAGTTACAAGGATTACCAACAGGGTGCAGCACTATTATTTTTTTTTTAATTTATGACAACAGCTAATTTGCAACCAAAAGGTGAGTGAGCGTAGCGAACGAACTTCAACCTGGAGGCGAGTTAGCGTAGCGAACGAGCTAACCTGAAGGCAAGTGAGCGCAGCGAACGACCTCCAATCTAAAGGTGAGTGAGCGTAGCGAACGAACTTCAACCAGAACGTGATTGAGCCACGAGAACGAGCTCACTTATGAAGTTAAACGGGGCAAAGCCCGCGGGTACAGCTAGTGCCTTATAATCGTGATACAAGACTAAAATGTCAAAATACATAGTCTATCTGAAAATATCGGATATTTAATGGATAGTGTCGGATATCAAATTTGGGGTTTGTTCGGATATCCGTATCCGAACCAAACCCAAATATCATATCCGATAAAACTTGTAAGCCGGTAAACCTTGTATGTTGATGCAATCAATTTATATGGATATAAAATTTGGGTTCGGTTCGTTTACGGACATCAGAAACGAACCGAATCCGACCCGATTTTTTTATATCTGCACACCTCTACATTTAACACACACATTCTTGTCCCAACTCCAATTTAAAATATCTAAATTTTATAACGTAAATTTCATAAATTTATTCTATACCCACCAGTTCCTGCTTCAGTGATAAGCGGAGGCTATAGTTTAGTTTGGTTTAAATTAACTCATTCAAAATTACATCTGTATCCGTTCTGTTTAACCGGTAAATCTCTACAACATCTTATTCTCGTTAATTTGTCGTTTTAATACACCAAAACTTGTTATCAGATTGTTGCAATGTTTGGTTATTCTATCTTTAGGAATGATCGGCTTAACAAGACTGGTGGTGGAGTTGGTGTCTATGTTAAGGACGGTTTAAATGCCAGACAATTGTATGCATCTCCGGGTGAGTACTCGGCTAAACCCGAGTTCATGTTTTTAGAAATTTGTTTGTCTGGCTCAGATGCTCTTCTCTTGGGGGCATGTTACCGCCCTCCAGATTCTCTTGCGAATCTGTTTCTCTCCAGAAAACATTCTCTTGCGCCTCATGCCTGGCTACGGTCGTATTTTAATCATGGGCGACTTCAACTGTGACTTATTGAAACCTGAACGCATGTTTGACTCATGCAATTTTACTATACGGACAGCTTCCAGCCCGGCCATATCTTGCCTTGATTTAATCTATTGTACTCTCTAAATAAGAGCACCAAAACCCAAAAAAAAATCATTACGTATAGAAACTTTATGTAGTAATTTTATAGCTGATGTTTATTTGATATCTTGGCACTCTATACATACTCTGGAGTCTGTTGATGACATGGTAAATTCCCTAAATGAAATTATTTTGCAGTTATATGATAAGCACGCTCCAATCATTACCCGAAGGGTTCATCCCATACCTTGGATCACAAATGAGATCCTCAGCTTAATGGCTCAGCGGGACTCAGTCTTTCGCAGAGCCTGGAGAACTAGAGACGTGGGGCTAATGGCCCAATACCGTCAGCTCAGAAACCAAGTTAAGCAACAATTACGTAACTCTCGCCTTCATTACTTCCATAGGCTGTTTTCAGATAGAAAACAGGCTTCTTCTGTGCTATGGTGTAGTTTAAAGAAGTTTGGTCTTGGAAAACAAGAACCAGGGTGTCTACTACATTCTGGATAAAAAAATTCATGGACAATTCCCGTACATTTAAGGACACTTTGTCGTAACCTTTGTCGGTGCGATTACCGAATATATTTTCCTGATTTGTCAAACTGTTTTAATCTTCTTCTTCACTGTAGTTGTACCAGTGAGAAAAGTAAGTAATAATAGACAAGAGTTAAATTTCAAAATAGAAATTTATTGAAATGAGCAAACATTTACTTCGGGTAAAGCTTTGTAGTGTAACAGAGAAACCCAATCATCGTCTACCGCAATAGCGACAAAATCCTGAATATCTCCATCAGTCATGGAAACATTATCATATCATATCCGTTCTATGTGGATTAGTTAGGCATGATTCGCCTAACTAACTGATATGACAACAAAATTGCAACAAGCTCAAAATTACTGTATAAGATTGTTGTATGATCTTCGACGAGATGATCACGTCACACCGTACTATATAAATTCTTCTCTTTAAAAACTGTCTGACGTTAGAGAAATACGCATTATTAATACAGTAGACTCCCTCTTATCTAGGACACCTTTTAACTGGACTACACTCGGCGGAAATGACATCTCTTAAACTGGACAATTTGTATCGGAACATTGGTTTAACCGGACTAGATCGGCAGGAAGTGGGCAGTACTGAAACGACTGTTCTTGTGGGAAAGATTTGAGACCAGTTATCACATGTTTAAATACAACGCTCTCCTAAATTTAAGTCGAATATCACAGTAAACAGTCTGTTTTAACAAATTTTTGGGGACGTCCGTTTAACCAGAAAAGCCGTTATCCGGACTGGCCTCGGTCCCAAGGAGTCCGGATAAGAGGGAGTCTATTGTATTCGGTCTAACTCATTCGGCCATCAATCTCAAAATTCCAAATTACTTGTGAACAATTTTAGATTTTTTAATGAAAGAGGTGCAAGAAATACCCGCTCTGGCTCATCAACTCTCCTAACTCCTCACCATAAGACAACAGTTTATAATAGTAGTCTAGTAAAATTATGATTTGACCTGGGCAAAATTGCTTCATAAGCCATTGAAGTGGTATTCGACTCAACAAATGTTACTTTACAACATATCCAAAATCCGACAAAATCCGACCATGGGAAAGTGTCTAAAAATAAATTTTAAAATGGCGGCTATTTTTCTTAAGAGCCATTTATTTTAAAACACCAATAGTCAGATAAATATGGGATATGGCCTCAAAACAATGAAAGAAAAAACATTGTATGGCTTTATTTGGTATAGTGTTGGGTGTGCAGAGTGACGTACTAAAATTTGCCAATAATCGGTCTACAAGAAACCCCCTCTAATGATGATTAAAAATGGCAGTTATCCCCAACATTGGACACATTAAAAAATATATCACATGCATGTTCATGCATATTTTTTATATATTCACTTATTTGTTATTTTGTTATTTATTATTTGAGATTACCACCAATATTTGTTGTGTGGTTAGTCCTTTAATTTGATAGGGAACGCATTTTGGCCGCCATCTTGGATCTGCCATATTGGATATAAATATATTTTTTTAAACGTAATGATAGTGTTGTGACACATCATTATAAATTAGATTTTCACGCTGATTTCAATGCTAAAATCTTTTTTATATATATATATGTTTTTAAATATATTTTCTCGTTTTGAAGATATATTCAAACGAAAATTCTCCCTAATCCATTTCTTATGGACGTTACGTAGTTTGAACATTTTTTAAGATAATATTTCTTATATCTCCAGTTTTTACTAACGCTTGCAGTTGGTTCTAGCCTTGAAATATTTGGTGATAAAAGTGTTTTCATTTGAGCTATTGATCATGAAAATCGGACGTGTTATAGACGAGCTACAAACCCTAACACAATATTAAATTTAACTTTTTAGATGTAATTTTTTATTAAAAGATGTATATCTCGGGTTGTTAATATGTCACCAAGTTCATTCTGGTCTCAAATTACTCAGTGAATCTTTGGCTTTAATTTTATTAACCATTTAATAAAATCTGATGAATTTTAATTTTAATTGAGTCATGAATCTTTATTTAACAGGAAATTATTTCTTTTACAAAATTTGTCTTTAGTTAAGGGCATTTATCCCCAATTCTAATAACTCCCAATAAGTAATCCATAGCTAAAACAAAAGTCAATAATGTTACTATTTATTTAAGACTGTAACGATTTTTGGGAGTTATTTAGAATTGGGGATATATGTCTAAAACTAAAGACAAATTTTTAAAAACAAATAATCTACTGTTAAATAAAGATTCATGACTCAATTAAAATTCATCAGATTTTATTAAATGGTTAATAAAAATAAAGCCAAAGATGCACTGAGTAATTTGAGACCAGAATGAACTTGGTGACATATTAACAACCCGAGATATACATCTTCTAATAAAAAAATACATCTAAAAAGTTAAATTTAATATTATGATAGGGTTCGTAGCTCGTTTCTAAATCATCCGATTTTAACGATCAATAGCTCAAATGTAAACTCTTATCACAGAATGTTTTAAGGCTAGAACAAATTGCAAGCATTAGTAAATACTGGAGATATAAGAAATATCTTAATAAATGTTCAAATTACGAAACGTCCATAAGAAATGTATGGGGGTACGACTTTTTGTTTTGTAGTCTTTTTGCATTGCCTGTTTTGATATGTTTACTGTTTCATACTATAGTATTCATGTTTACTGTTTCCTATAATAGTTATTTTTCACATATTTGTTCAAACGTCTGAGAATAATGTCCTTCTTGGCAAAAAACTCGTACTACCGTACAGTATCTGATATACCGCCAACCCTAGAGTGATTTGAAAATGATCCATTCTTCTTTTATGACCCATTGCGCAACTGTGGGTGTAAACGGAACGGACTGTCTTGTTTTGCTTCTTGAGGGGAGTGCCAGATGAAGAACATTGAAACAAAATTATAACAGTTATTCAAATGAATAGTTTGACCAAGAAAACTTTTTAAATTTTGTTCTTTTTTAGTAACTATAGAAATTAAAATGTACATACAAATATGCCCTTGTCGTTTTAATAAAGTCTATTCTTGTTTTTATTTGATATTTCAACATCCAATCTGATATTTAATTTATGTATATGTGCTTTCCGTTATCCCATACCGCCAAAAGTCTTAAAACAAATATCACAACAAAATGAAATTTTGCCGCCATTTTGAATTTGATTTTTTAGTAATTTCCCATGGTCGGATTTTGTCGGATTTTGGATATGTTATACAGCATTATTTTCTGTGTTGAATACCACTTGAATCGCTTGTGAAGCAATTTTGCCCAGGTTTAGGGGTAATTTGTCGTATTTTGCCTGGACTATAGATCATTTACAGTAACAGTATGTTGCCTTTGGAACTCCCTACCATTCACTATCAGGACAAAGAATCCTGTTCCAGACTGACGGCGGCGCTGAAAGAGTACTATCTCGATCGGATGACCGTGGCTTGGTGGGATGGCGTGCTCTAGGCCTAGGTATGGCAAAGAGTGAATGTGTGTGTGTATGCGTATATTAGGGATAAAGATTTATAACTTAAGTTTTTACTTATTATTTTGTTTATAGTTTTAAAAGTTTTATAAAAGTGCATTGTTTAGTTTATATTTAGTAGGTACATAAGAGGTTAACTGTAAGAAAGGACCATGTGGTCCTAATGTTCGCCACAATAAAAAAGTATTTTAATTTCATTTAATTTTCATTTCATCAGTATTCCAAACCCCATTGTTAAAGGTGATCTAGGCTAATTAAGTCTCAGGAGTATCCCAATTTGAACAATTGCGAAGAATACTGTAGTAACAAAAGTTTATTTCAACTATATCACAAAAAATTCTTTGTTTAGACATACTAATCAGGTCCCGGAGACTCTGTAGGAATTTTTATATTGTATTTTGTTTAGTAAACTATCGCACTACATTCTTTTATAATCATAAGTTAAATAATTTAAAGGGTAAGACGAGTAGTTTACAGTATCGAATTGGCCAGGGTAGTATACTCATCGGACCTAAAGAGTCGTTCTAAGTTAGGTAAAATTTTCAAGAACACTTAACAAAGGCGAGGATAATATAGCTCACTCCGGAGCGTCTGCAAGATTTTGTGAGCGCTTCTAGAGTTCGGAACCTTCAATTAAGTTAAAATAAATAAACAGTTAAAACCCTGAAACAGCTTCATATCAACCCCTGAATTTTATAGGCTCCTGCTGAACACAAGGGGAAGACATTTGAGTGCGGCTGGTTTAAGGGGTAGGCATAGCCTCTTTTGAGAATACAATATTTTATTCCCCCCTCAGAATTTACGTCACACAGTGTGATTACCTCCATTGTTGGAGCTGATAGGTCTCTGGTAGTTCTTTCTCCTCCCAGCGTACTCTTCATGCCTTTGACGCCGTCGTTTCTCTGAAACCCATTGAAAAGGTGATGAATCCACTATAGTAACTAGGGATGTTTGATATTTGATAGTTTTGAAAGCACTATTCACCTAATAAATAAATTTACAGTAGACCCCCTCTAAAACGACCCTAACGGACCTAGGTCGGAAGACACAAGAGGTCGGTTAAAACGGGCAATCCCTAAAAACATAAAAAATGAAGTGATATCCATTTGAAATTATATAATCATTATTTTGAAGTCGTACTTGCATTATTTATAAAATAAACTACAATATCTCCTTTTTTCGTATTGATAGAAAAGTGGCAAATAAATATAAAACACTGTTAAGTCAAATACTTTCAATGGAATAAGTTATAGTTGTAGGCAAGAGTCAATAAAAATTCTTATTTTAAATACTTTAGTACTGTAATATTACTTTATGCTTTCCAAATCTATCTTAATACAGTACAGAACTTTTTGTCTAAATTAAAGATACAAGCAACTATTTTTGTTACGAGAAATTATGTTTATTAATAGCCTCTCAATGGAGGCTCGAGTCACAAAAACTATCTTGACCTTGGAGTCGTTATACCCCCCTCCCCTGCCCAACTACAAGTTTTTTACTCTAGGGATAAGATAATTCAAGATTATATTACAAAAATAGCTGCTGTTTTCAGAAACATAAATTTTTGGGATACATACAAAATAACTTATCTTTTGTTACATCCTGTGGAGATAAGCGTATGATTCCCAACGCCGAGCGTGGGAGCGGAAATGCTGAGATTCCTCGGCGGTTAAACCGAACTGCTCTCAAAGCAAGTGCTAGGTACTATGAAAAGGAAAGTTGATTTATGTTTTAATACAAATTTTTATTCTGTAGCAAATTATAGTGAGTTAGCTTTTTCAATGAAACAAAACGAAAATAAATTAATGTAAACAAAGTCATATGATAAATAAAAGAAATTAGGAAACAGTTGGTTGAACACAGCACCTCTCCCCTAAGTTTTAGAATCACATATTCGTTCTTGTAACCGGTTGTTTTTTCCTTGAGCTTCTTCTTAAGACAGGGTTTGAGGCTTCACCGTTTGGTAGAGGAGCTAGAGGTTGGTTAAAGCGAGCTTCATCTTCAGTATGGTTGTTGAACACATGATCATTTGCTCCCTGAAGTTCTTCATCTTGAATTGAAGACCCTAGAGGAAGTTTGATATTGATAAAGTAGTCCCTGTCGTCCTTCTCACCGCTTAAATTTGAACTAACCGATCTTATTTGATCAATGTGTCTCCTGTAGGTGGAATTTCCAGATTCAATATTATAGTGGCACGTGCCCAGTTTTTGTAGAACCCTTCCAAATCTCCACTTTTGTGGCGTTCCGTAGATTCTAAAAGAAACAGAGTCTCCTTCTTTAAAGTTCCTCCCATAAGATTGTTGGATAGTCTGGTCATTTGTGCAAGTATTTGAAGAGTTAAGAAGTGTCAAATCAAGCCTTGACCTCAACGGTCTGCCGATGAAAAGATGAGCAGGTGATAACCCTGTAGTTGCATGAGGTGTTCTCCTATATGCCATGAGAAATCTGGCAACCTTTTGGTTAAGGGTACCAGGTTCATCTTTCATAGACCTAAGGGATTGTTTTAAGGTCTGAACATATCTTTCGACCTGCCCATTGGTAGCTGGATGATATGGAGCAGAACGTTTATGGCATATGCCATTCAGTTCTAAAAAGTTTTTAAATTCTTGAGAAGTATATTGTGGACCGTTGTCTGAAACCAAGATATGTGGAATGCCAAAATTGCTGAAGAATGTTCGCAGGCAGTCTATGGTTTTGTTTGTAGTTGTAGAATTCATTGGAATAACTTCTGGCCATTTACTGTACGCATCCACAATAATTAAAAAGTAGCTGTTCATAAATGGTCCAGCGAAGTCAACGTGAATTCTCTCCATAGGTTTTTCAGGAGCAGACCATGGATGTACAGGTACTTTGGTTGGATCATTACGATGCTCTTGACAATTTTTGCAATTTCGAACCAATGTTTCAATATCATGGTCAATATTTTTCCACCAGACATAGGAGCGAGCTAAAGCTTTCATCCGAACCATACCTATATGTGCTTCATGAAGTTCTTGAAGAATTTTGTTTCTTAATGATTTTGGTATTACAACTCTATGTCCTTTAAATAAGCTCCCCATTTGATAGCTCCATTCTGATTCAGTGTCTCTGAACTCACTTGAATGGTTTATGAGCTTTCCTTCATTAAGAGCTTCATAGATGTCTGACAGTTCCTGATCTTTTTGAGTTTCTTCTGCTATTAGTTTGCTTGAAACGGGAAGGGTTTGGAGTTGTTGTAATTCAAAAACATCAACGTTGTCTATTTGGTTAACATCTTGGCAAATATTTGAAGGTAAACGGGATAAGGCATCTGCATTGGCATTTTCATCAGTAGATTTGTATTTGATGTCGAAATTAAAGGCTTGGAGGAAAACAGCATAATTTTGTAATCTAGTAGCTGCTAGAATTGGTATACCTTTTTTGTCACCAAATATATATGTCAATGGTTTGTGGTCGGTGAAAAGAGTAAAGTGATGGCCATACAGGAAGTAATAAAAACGTTTTACAGCAAAGTAGATGGCTAATGCTTCTTTCATTATGACACTGTACTTCATTTCCGAGGAGTTTAATGTTCGTGATGCCATTGCAATAGGTCTTTCAGACCCATCCGGATAAACATGTGAAAGAACGGCAGAGATGCCATGCTGGCTTGCATCTGTAGCTAAGATGAGTGGTAAGTTAGGATCAAAATGAGTAAGAAATATGTCTGATTTCATTTCCTCTTTAATGTTTTGGAATGTTCTTTCACAGTCCTCAGACCAAAAGAATTTCGTAGATGACTTGGTGAGATTTATAAGAGGATATAATTTCTCACTTATGTTTGGAATGAACCTTCTGTAGTAATTAATCAGGCCAAGGGCGTGTCTGACTTCATGTATGTTTGAAGGGCGAGGCAAATGGTCAATAGCTTCAGTTAGTTTTTGAGTTTTGTATATCCCTTTGTTGCTAATTTTATACCCCAAATACTCAATCTCATTTACCATGAAGCTTGATTTTTGTCTATTAATTCTAAGATTGTACTGCTTGAACCTCTCAAATACCTGTTTTAAACGGCTAAGATGTTGTTAGTTAGTGGTGCCTGAAACAACTATATCATCATAAAAGACTTGTACCCCTTCAATCCCTTCAACAACTTTCTCCATTGCTTTTTACCAAATAGCAGGAGCTGCAGATATTCCGAATGGTAATCTATTATATTGGTACAAACCTCTATGTGTATTTATTGTTAACAAATAACGATCCGACCCTCTTATGGGCATATGAAGAAAAGCCTCCGATACGTCAATTTTACTGTAGGTGATACTGTTACCAATTTTAGATAAGATTTGTTCAATTGCTGGAACTGGGTACTCAGGGACAAGAAGAGATGGGTTGAGTATGACTTTGAAATCACCGCACAGTCGTATGTTACCATTGGCCTTTACTATTGGAACTACTGGTGTTGCCCAGCTGCATGATAGTTAACTTTTAACATAGTTTTACCTATTGGAGAAAAACAGTGTTTATTGTAATCTCTGAAAATAACATTGCTTGGTTACAACGGTCTGTGCCTTGGAAACATTCTTTTAAAGTTATAGTGCGACATGATTGACGCTCCAGACCCAGTGTCTAATTCCATTGTAGTTGGTCGGTCATTAAGATTAACTTTTAGCAAGATCTTATCATTTGAACCTTTTAAAATATCAACAACGTTGTGTGTGGGATCATGGACACATACTGTGTCGGATGTTAGATTTAACTCTTTGTGTACAGCTTTAACATTTTTAGCTGTAGAAATAGTTCCAAACTTTTTAGTTGGTAATTTTATCACTGCATTTGGATTTGACAAACAGACTTTAGCAATATGACCAATTTTTTTGCAATAATTACAAAAGGTGTTGATATGTGGACAAGGTGTTGTATGTGATTTTCCACATCTGTAGCAAACTTTATTATGATGGATGTTGTTACTTACTTTGTCAACTCCAATTGATATGTTATCACCACGGTGTAGTGTTGCTGCATCCTGGTAGGCTTTCTCGAGTGTAGTTGCCAGCTCCAGTGCTTTGTCCATAGTTGAGACCGATTCGCTGATCAATTTGGCTTGAATCGCTTCATTTCTCAATCCTTGTATGAACTGATTTCGTAATGCTGTGTTGAGAAAGTTGCCAAAGTTGCAGTACCTTGACAATCCTTTCAATTCCGTTGCAAAGTGCTGTATGTCTTCACCTTCATGTTGACGTCTATTGTGGAACTGATAGCTTCTGCTACTTCGTTTGGTGGTGGTGAAAAGTGTTTGGTGAGTTGTTTAATTAATTCTTTATACGAAAACTCTGTAGGCAATTTAGGTTGTAACAAATCTCTAAGTGTTCCATAAGTTTTCTTTCCAATAACATGTAGCAGTGTTATTGTCTTGTTTTCCTCAGAAATATTGTTGAATACAAAAGCTATTTCTAGTCTTTCTAGGTAGCTGTTCCATGTTTCTTCATTATCATCAAAGGGTTCAAAAATAAAGTTCATCGTCGCCATCTGCTATGTACTATGAAAAGGAAAGTTGATTTATGTTTTAATACAAATTTTTATTCTGTAGCAAATTATAGTGAGTTAGCTTTTTCAATGAAACAAAACAAAAACAAATTAATGTAAACAAAGTCATATGATAGATAAAAGAAATTAGGAAACAGTTGGTTGAACACAGCTGCAAGGTCGGTTAAAAGAAACGTAATATTTTACGATTGAGGGTGAATAATCCGATTATCGATTAATGAGAGGTCCATTAAGAGGGGGTCTACTGTATTGATCAATAAATTGATTGATTGGATGATTGAATCATTTGACAGTGATAGTTGGACAAATTTGACCAATAACAGTTAATGTTGTAAAGGACTGCGGTATTCTTGATACCAGCAATCATGGTAAATTGGTATCAGTATTGAGAATCAAT